TGTAAAGGTACAATTCCCAATGAGAAATGTAATTGTGTTGTATACCTACAATGTACCAATAAAAGAATTTAATACAAAAAAAAGAACCTATCCTACTGTCACATAAAAATTCCAATAAAGTTTAACTATTGTATAAGATAGTTATGAAAAAATTTAACAAAAATATAAGCAATGTACATGTCAATATTGTGCATGACTATAAGGAAGAAAGTCAGTTTTCATTTATTTCAATCTCTTTTAAATATAACTGGTATAAGAAATTTTACAAGTTGAAAACATTTTCTTCCATAATCAGTATATCATTTCTTGTACTTGCTAAGAAAGGTAAAATGTATTTTTAATTTAATTGAACCTAATAAAAATATTTCTTGCATATAAAAAAAGAGAAAACATTATTTCATAGTTCAAAGAAATTTGTATGTTTTGGACATTGTCCAAGGTCTTAATATGCACACCTAATTTTTTTCTAATAATTTAAAAAAATTTTCAATATCTTCATCCTCTTCTAGAATATTGAAGACTGTAACATGCTTTAAGTATCCATTTAAAAGCCCAATTCCTTATTATTGCTGACTTTAGAGAATGTCATCAATTTCTAAAAATTACAAAATATAGATTTATATTTAGAAAAAAAAGCTGATAATGAACGCATCTGTGAATCTGCTCCAATAACGTGGTTGTTTCTTGCATTCTACTTCTTATCTCTGAGTTTACCTCCATTCCTGTGTAGTACTTCCTTGAGTGATGGTAACTAGGTCTTGGTCAAAAAGTCTTTATTTCTCTGCTCTTCATGAAAGTTTTGCTAGGTAATTGAATTATTCTAAATTGGTGTTTTGGCTTTTCAACATTTTGAATACATTACTCCTCAGGTATTTTTGTTTATGCTCCTAATCATTCTTTTAAAGCTAATAATCTACATTTTATTTTCTTTTAAATGTCATAACGTTTTTCCTTTTCAAATTTAAGTGCTTAATTCATCCAGATTTAATTTTTGTATGTACTATGAGTTATGGGAAAATTTTCAATTTTATTTATTTTTTTATATGTAAACCAAATTCTTCCAGTACCATTTATTTTGTAGTGCCTTTTTTCTCACAAGTGACCTATAATGAAATCTCTATTTTTAAGTAAGTTTCATAGATATATGGATTTGTCTACAGGCTCCTGTTATAATCAACTGGTTAATTGGTTTACCCCAATTCTTGTTATTTATTTGGGTAAGTTTGTTCTTAGTTCTTTCTGATTTTTTGATAATCTATAAAAATTTTGGGATCAAACTATCAAATTTCATAAATAAATCTTAGAGATGTTGTTTTCTACCTATAAAATTTATTTCCCGAGATACCAAACTGATATATTTTTTGCCTATTAAGTTTATTGGTTCATTTTAGGTATAAAATACAGTTACATTCATCATTGGGATCCTGTACCTTTACATGAGTATCTTGGTTCTTCTTTTTTTCCCCTTCCTCTGCCCTCTCTTTACCCCCTCCACCCTTCCCTATTTGCAAAAACTTTGTTTCCATTTTTTTCCTTTTCTCATATTTTTTCTTTTCC